CCCTATGTCTTTTGATTGGAGTATTTAACCTTTTTACATTTACAGTGATGATTGATAGGTACATAATTATAGTCATTTTATTATTCATATTTATGTTTTCCCCCTGCACCCACATTTTTCTTCTTAAAGAGTTCTCTTTAACATTTCTTCTAATACTGTTTTGGTGTTGATGAACTGCTTTAGCTTTTTCATGTCTGGAAAGTTCTTTATCTCACCTTTGACTTAATCGATGGCCTTGCTGGCTAATCTTGGTTGTAGTTCCTTGTTTTTCATCACTTTGAATATTTTGTGCCAATAACTTCTGGTCTTCAAAGTTTCTGTTGAGAAATCAGCTGACAGTATTATGGGAACTCCCTTGGTTGTAGGTTTGCTCTTCTCTTCCTGTTTTTAAGATTCTCTCTGTCTTTAACCTTTGCCTGTGCTGGGTCTAGAGACACGTGGAGAGGCCACACTGTAAACCATGTCCAGCTGCCAGCAATACCAGGCTTGGGTCTGCTTAGCCAAAGGCACAAGGGATCCCAGGGCTTACCATCATCTGCAGGTTGTCCTAAGGCTCAGCTGCTGAAAGAGCCTTGGGCAGTACTCAAGTGGTGTGAAGCGGGGTCTCAGGGAGTGGGGCAAGTGATGTTCACTCAGTTAATGCAACAAAGTTGTTTTAAATTTGAAAAAAAATCTGTCTAATTAGCCAAATAACAGAGTAAAGGAGGAAGACCATATGATCATTTCAATACATGCAGAAAAAGAGTTTGAAAAAAACAAAACAAAACACAACACAAAGGAAAATTCAATATTATGAAAAGGAAAAATTCTCTGCAAGCTAGAAGTAGAAGTAAATTTACACAATTAGATAAATGACATCTATGAAAAACACAGAGCTAACATTATACTCAAAATTATATATGCCATATGATCCCATTTGTATGAAATCCAAGTATATAAAAATTAATCTATGTAGACAGAAATCAGAATAATGATTGTCTTTTCAGAGAGGTGAGGGACAAATAAATTGAGGCAACAAAACTGTTTTAAATCATGTTTGGATGGTAGTTACTCTTGAATTTATTTGCACATTTTATTGTATAAGTTATATCTCAATAAAGGACAAAAGTAAGTAACAAAAACAAAGAGAGAAAAAAATAGAGCAGGACAGAAAGAACAGAAAGAAAATGAAAACGAAGAAAAAAGATTGGGATCAAGCCCTAAACAAAATAGTTAAAAGAAAAAATAACTAGGAACTCTATAGACCAATGAAAACACGCCAGAGATATTTCCATGAAATAGATAAAAACTACTGGGTAATATTTAACATATCTTAAAATAAATTAACAAATGATAATGTAAAAAAACAATTAAAAATTTGAAAAACTCAGAAATGAGGTGATAGAATTTAGTAAAAAACATAAAATTTAAAATACTTTGTATATGAAGACTGAACTAGAACAGAAGATTTAATAAAAACAACAGAATTTCTTAACAGAAACAGAAGATAAAATGAAAGAAACCTTTAAAAAGCAAAGAGTATATAATATATATTGAAGAAAATAATATAACATACATTGAAGAAAAAAAAAGATTTAAGCAAAAGTTACAAGAATAGAAGACAAGAAATTTCATGTATATTATGTGAGCGCCTACAAAAACAACCAAAGCAATGAAACAGAAGACATATTAAATAATATGGTTCAAGAACATTTCTCTGAATTAAATAAAAATATTTGAATCTACATGTTGAAAGCGCATGCCAATGATCAACACTGAGACATATTCTAGTAAAACTACTGTATTTAAAAATAAGGAAAAAGAAACACATTTATGTCATCATGCAAAAGGTCCGAGTTCCCTGTAAAGGAAAGAATTTTACTATCATCAAACATTTAGACAGTATCCTATGTTAGAAGATAATGGAATACCATATTTAAGACACCAAAGACACAAAGTGTGAGCCAAACATTTATAGCTAAATCAAACTGACTTTTGAGTATGAAAGGCACAGTAAAACTGTTTTTTTTTAGTAGGAAATAATTCAAGGAATACTGTTCTAATGACCAATTAATGAAGAATCTACTAGCAAATAAGATTCAGAAAATCAAGATGGCAGAAGAGATAATGATGTTAAGTAAGAACTGGCAAATCAGGATTCTTAATATGGAAAAAGACACACAGTTGTTGAATCCTATAAGAACTCTGTCCTCATTTTGAATTGGAAGTGTTAGTATAAACTAAAAATGTATTTTAATTCTAGCTCTGTCTACTAAAAAGTCTAGTCATAATATTAATTCAATAGCAATGAATAATACCAGAACCCAGACTGTGATCTCCAAAGTCCATTCTAAATAATGGACCAAATGCTGCTTGGAGCAATGGCTCAATCCATGTCTGAGGAAAAAAATGTACAAATGAACCTGGATTGTCTTATAAAGGAAGATAGCAAAGAAGGTCATGTCGAAAGAACTCACAATGGAAGTTAAATATAGAACATTTTGTACATCAGTAAGAATAATAACTGTAAAGGACTGAAACATATCAAAATATGTTTAATTCAATGAGCTCATTACAATGCTTTAAAAAATACCTATCCACCTGCTAGAGAACTACCTCATTATTTTGAAAACTGGAAAGCTAAGAGAAAGAATCATTCATTTCCTATGTGAACCATACCATTGAATAAGTCTATGCCAAATGAGAAAGTTTTTCTTTAATAACAAAGAAAATGACCAGAAATGTCACCATTTTACACTTTCTTATCAATTAATGCATCTAGACATTTATTGTCAAAGGCTGGTAATATCACAAAAAGAGACAGCCAAACATGATGTACTTCTGCTTTGTAGAGCCTAGCTATGAAGTGACTGTGCCAAAATAGTCTAACGTGAAAGTGATCAGGCTTCTAGAGCTATTTACCAATCTGCAAGAAATGTAGGACAGGGGATCATGTTAACTTGTACCGAATGGATAAAAATGAGGAAATCCAAACTTTGGAGAAACTCTATAGTATTGTTATAGACTAAATGTTTGTGTTCAAAAAATTAATATACTGAAGCCCTAATGTTCAGTGTAATGGTATTTGGAGGTGGGATCTTTTGGAGATAATTAGGTTTAAGTTAGGTCTTGAGAGTGGAGCCCCAAAAATGAGATTAACACTCTTATAAGAAAAGGAAAAAAACTGGAGCCCCTCCCCCCACCTCTCTGTTTCTGCCAGATAAGGACACAACAAGTGGCAGCTATCTGAAAGCCAGGAAGAGGTGTCACTAGACACCAAATCTGCTAGACCTCTCAGCCTGCAGGACTGTGAGAAATAAATGTTTATTATTTAAGCCACCCAGTCTATATTGCATTATAGTAGCCAGAACTACTAAGTCAAAGACAAAAGATTTAGTTTTTTCAATAAATAAATTTCAAGGGGAAAAAGTACTAGAGGAAAATCTATCAGAAAAACTTAAAAAGAGATACTGTCTAATTATAATAGTTGGAATTTCTTTCCATTCTACATCAAATAAACTCTAACAAAATAGAAACATTTATAACAGATGTGAACTAACTGGACATCTGAACAAAGTGAGTATTTGGTGACATTAGGGCATGATGATAATTATTTTTAAGGGTAGAATTGATTATGTTTATTTTTAAAGGGGATCCTTGAGAGAGAATACTAAAATTTATATTGATAAAATTATATCTTTTGAGGATTTTCTCTAAAAATAATACTGGAGAGGGCAAGTGCATAGGGGTATAAGTGAAACCAGGGGTTCCCAACCCTTGGGCTGTGGGCCGGTACTGGTCTATGGCCTGTTAGGAACCAGGTCGCATAGCAGGAGGTGGACAGCAGGCAAGCAAGTAAAGTTTCATCTGTATTTGCAGCCGCTCCCCAGCACTAGCATCACCGCCTCAGCTCCACCTCAGATCATCAGCCATTAGATTCTCGCAGGAGCACCAGTCTCTGGGGTCAAAAAGGTTGGGGACTTCTGGGTGAAACCAAATTGATTATAAATTGATAATTGTTGAAGTTAGGCAATATGTACATGGTGGATCATTGCATATTCTATTTACTTTTCACATATTTTAACTTTTTCATAATAAAGAATTTTTAAAATTTCAAATGTATACATACACAGGTTAGTACAAAGAAGTAATGGCTACAAGCATCTTTTAAAATAGCATTCCAGAAATAATTTTTAAATGCTAGAACATTACTTGGAAGATCTCTTCTGGATATTGTTTTTGCCTCTGAATATGTTCCACAGATAATAAAAATAGACAGCTTTGATTTCCTTATTTGAAAAGGGGCCATGCCACAAAATGAAAATTATATTCTTTTAAACTTCTCATCTGTTTTTGAGGCAGGCTTTGTCTGGGAACTGTACACTTAAAGAATGACTCAAAACTTAGTTTTTATTACAACCAAAGAAGGTGCTAGTAATTATCCTAAAATAGCATTTTCTTGCCACAAGTTATGATTTGTATGGAGAAGCACGTTCTCTGCAAATGAAATATTTAAAAAATATTATATTGCCTGCTATCACTATCAGTTATTTCCCATCTATGAACAGAATTTAGCCTCGGCCAAGCACTATACAAAACCTTGAATTTAAGCCCAAACGTGTTGGTGGCATCTACTCTGCAGAGTTGTGGATAAGGGCACTGCCTCTTTCCTTTAATTCACCACTAAGCAGGTATGCCAGGCACCACAAATGGCAGGGCAAACATAATAAATGCAACAGCTATTCAGTTACTTTCTTGAAGAACATTTCTACTGGCTTAAGAACACAGAGGCAAGGTGCTGAACAAAGCGACTGGCCATGTACATGTCGGGTTTACAGGCTGCCGGACACTGACCGCTGCTCTCGGAATTGGGTCGCCATTTGAACAGCTGCTCTGCTATCACATGAAGGATTCAAGAATGGTAAACTCTTCCATGATAATGTCCAGGTGTTTACTCTTCAACAACCTGAAAGCCTATCTAAACCAACACGAGAGAGGGCTTTAAATTTTTTTTTTCTTTTTTTAATATGGAATGCTTCACAAATTTGCATGTTATTCTTATGCAGGGGCCATGCTAACATTCTTTGTATCGTTGGAATTTTAATGTACGTGCTGCCCAAACAAGCACAAGAGAGGACTTTTTGATGTGTGGCAGATCATTCTAGAAATGATTCTGGTTATAGAAAAAAAGTACGTATCCACAAAAGCAGTCTGGGGTGAGGAATTTAAAGATGGGCTGATCTCCAGAATCCTCAGCAGTTTTACTTTACTTTTTATTGGCTGATGTAAGAGACTCTCCACTCCAATCAGAGTAACAGCAGCATGGCATCTTCACCCGCTGGCTTCTTGCTCCCCTCGGTCTGGCCCTAAGGGCCTGACATTCCGACTCTGCACTTGTTTTTCATCTGCCTGGAATCTTCTTCACCCAAGCATCCACATGGTTGCCTCGAACACTACTCTCTCAGTAAGACTGTCCATGAAAAGGCAGAGGAAAATTGCAACATTGGACTCCCCTAATATTCCTGCTTGATTTTTCTGCACAGCACTCTGTGCGACCAGAAACATTAGAGAATTTGTCTGCTTGTTGACTGTTGGTTTTCCTCTGCTGTAATTCACCCTCTCTGAGTTATTTTTATCTTTTATGTTCACTGCTTTTATCCTCAGCACCTGAAGAGTGTCTGGCACACAGGAATTGTTGAATAAATATTTGCTTAAAGACTGATTTCTGCTGAAGAACTAAACTAGACACTTCTGGGGAAAAAAAATCCTGGTTTCCAGGAATTTTGCAGTGGAATGAATCTATTAGGTCTTTGAAAGCCTAAAGTTTGAAGACAAGGGCCTTAAATCTGAAGGACCAAGATTTAGTTCTGGCTCCACCCAGAGTGGACCTGAGTTGACCCAATTAATTTCTCTAAGTTCTGTCACCTCATTTGTAAAATGAGAATGACGATGCTTCCTACCTAATCAGACTCTTGTGAGGTTTAAATGAGATCAAGTATGTAACGTAGTTCATGAAGTTGCCAGGCACATGACAAGATCCATAAGTGATGGTTTTGTTGTCACTGGCAGAGACAGCACAGCACAACAGGTCCCTCTCGAGTCATCACGGTGTGTTCGAAGTGTAAAAAGCCCTGGCATTTATCCCTTGTACAGAAAAGTTAAGGTAAGTGATTCACTTCTTTTTTTCTCTATACGCCCACATAATTATGAGACAACACAAGACCTTTATAAAAATTAAAACTGATGTCCATATGCCATTCTCTTTGGGGACAGCAGAGTAGCAGCAGAGTGGCTTAATTGCCCCTACCCATTCCTCCCTATTCATCTATGCAGTTTATCTTACTTGGCTCAGAAAAAAGTTTACAGTAACTCTTGCCAAGAGAATTCCTCTCACTTCATTTGTGTAGAAAGAAAAATATATCCTTTTACCCTGGTATCATATAAGAGATGAACAATCACAAATTATATCCTTTATTCTTGACTTGATTTCATATGACCATTTCATACTCCGTAACATATAGTTCATATACATGAACACACACAAACATGCGCGTGAGCACACACAGAGCTTTTTGGCACCTAGTTAACAAACAAATCACAGTCAACAGCTAAGCTAAGAGGTCTGCTGAAAGAAGTGAATCCATTTAATTCAACTTCCTCTTCCTTCTACCACAAATATAGCTGTAGTTATCAGTAAAGCTAATCCAACAATTCAGATCTGAGTTGCTATTCTTATGTTCTGCTGCCTCTCCAAGCTCTGTGCAGACAGGTTGAGGCCATTTATTAATTTCTCTCTGATGCTAATGGGACTAAAGTCCTTCCTTTCTGACTCAATTGCCAAGGTGCAGTTCAGACTATTTTGAACTATTGCCTTGTTTGTGTTGGTGGGTGGAAGTGAAGGGTCTGATGAGGTAGCTTCTTATATACTCTCTGTGATCAAAGGAGCCTTTCAGAGACTTAGCAATTAAGTCTGGACCAATCTAAATGGGCCTGGGCTGCCTTCCTCTCTGTTTCCTCTGTGAATGACTGTCCCTCTATCTCTTCTCAACATCATCATCCTTTTGGAGAATAGAAAAAATGTCAGGTACAAAATGAGAGTTTATACCCAGAATAAGAATTGCACATATGTAAGTTAATTTAGTTCATATACGCCGAACCAAAAACGCAAAGCATCTCAGTGTTAAACAAGAGCATAATAGTTTAAATGAACTGTCCAGGATCATCATCATACATCTTCCTTTGCTTTTGCCATTTTTATTATGCAATGTTGATTTTGTAATATTATTCTTCAGAACAAACTAAAATCTCAGGAGAAAAATCTATTTTCAGTTAAAGCCTTCTACAAATAACTGCAATATCTGGTATACTAAATCATCACCTTCATTTCATCTCCTTCCTCCACCCCTTGTAAGAACTTTTATGAAGTATAACAAATTTTATTACTTCAATAAGGAAGAATAAATCTTTTTCATTCATTATTAAAAGGTCTTTGAGGGGTCTCTCACATCTAAAAAACACAAAAAATAATCTTATGCCAACCATTTTGCTCCAGGCAATGGAAGATCAGAGAAATTCAGACTGGTAGGAGGACAAACCAGTATTTTTTTTTCTTAAAATAAAAAAGGTAATTGTGATCTCAAAATGACCAACTGCTCTTAGAAGAAAAGGTAATTCAACATAAGAGCAACTATCAGCTCATACAAAACATAGAAGAAAAGCTTAAGAATCTAAGTGACACATTCAAGCAGGATTGGCCCTGAGGAGACAATGTAAGGTGAGATTCATGCTGAGCCCTAAAACTAAGGACCGGACAGTAACTGTGGTCAACAACGTTAAGATGGTTACTGTTCTCCCATCTCCTATGGCTTATATGTATATTCCAGATTTGCTTCTAAGTTGACCTCCATTCTTTCCTCATCTTGAATTCTACCTTTCATAAAAATCTCACTTTACTAATTTACATATTTTTCACCTCTCTAAAATTTATTCTCTATATATCACCCTATCATTGTACCTTTATCTCCAAGGGAGAAAATAGTCATCACCTCTAAATCAATTCTACACTGTTTGCCTGCATGTTCTTTATCCTACCTATAACAACGTCCTTTAGAAAAGTATCAAATCCATTGTTTCTTATTTCCAACATCTAAAATCTCTTACAATTGGCTTATTCTCCTGATCTTAGAAGCATATACAAATTATGTCATTCAAAAATATTTCTCTCAGCCATGCATACCCATTGAAAGACACCATTATTTATATACCGTTGGTTTATAATTCAGTGCTTCTGTGTCCTCGCTCATTTTGAAATCTGGCTTCAGAGACCACCTTCCACTATTTTTCTCTCAAGAGTCCCTGAATTAAATCTGTAGCTTATATCAATTTTCATCCTATGTATTTAAATAATGGAACCTTACTGTGCTGCTTATTTGAACCTGAAAATTAGAAATCATTAACAGAGCTTTTCTTTGACTCCTTTAGGTTACACCTGTGCTAGTAGAATTAAATCTATTACTTCCATTTTCCCTTCAAGAAACTCAATTATGGGAGCTTTGGCTCCTTCATAGCTTTCTATTAATATTAGATTTACAGAAATGTTGAAAAAATAATATAGAGAATTCTCATATAGCCGTCACGCAGCTTCTACTAATATTAACATCTTACATAATCACAGTACATTTGTCAAAGCTAAGAAATTAACATTGGTACCATAAAAGTAAAGGAATTTTCTTGGCAGGAGCTACTGTAAACTTTCTTTGGAGAAGCGAGATAAACTGCATCGATGAGTAGGGGGAAATGAGTAACAGTTTTTAACTCACTCTGGTGCTGGCCTGCTGTCCCCCAAAACAGTGATCCCCAACCTTTTGACACCAGAGACTGGTGCTCCTCTAAGATTCGAATGCCTGATGATCTGAGGCGGAGCTGAGGCGGTGATGCTAGGGTTGGGGAGCGGCTGCAAATATAGATGAAGCTTCGCTCACTCACTCGTTGCTCGCCTCCTGCTGTGTGGCCCGGTTCCTAACAGGCCACGGACAGGTACTGGTCCATGGCTTGGGGCTTGGAGACCTCTGCCGTAAGAGACTGACATCTGACATCAGTTTTAATTTATATAAAAGTCCTGTGTTAGCTCATGATTATGTGGGGGTAAGAGAAAGAGGGAAAGAAATTAAATCATACCAGGTATGCTCTCTGACCACAATGGAATTAAATTAGAAACCAATAACAGAATGATTAACAGAGAAATTTGCAAATCATTTCTAAGTAAATAATAGGTCAGAGAGATTCTCTCAAGAGAAATTAAAAATTTTTTGAATTGAAAATACAACATATCAAAATTGTCAGATGCAGTTAAAGCAGAACTTAGATGAAAATTTATAGCATAAAATGGTCACATTAGGAAAAAAGAAAGTTCTAAGATCAATAACATAAGATTCCACCTTAGAGAACTAAGGTAAAAAGTGCAATTTAACTCTAAAGTAAGCAGCAGCAAAATAAATAATAAAAATTAGAGCATAAATAAATAAAATTGAAAACAGGAAAAGTAGATCTCACATTAAATGAATGAATGAATGAATGAATGAATGAAGTGGCATTTAAGGTAAAATGAGGCCATAAGGATAGACTCCAATCCAATATAACTGGTATCCTTATGGAAATAGAACAGGCATACAAAGAGGGAAGAAGAGAAAAAGGATATAGCTAAGATCTTAGAAAGGGAAGAAGTTATTATGCATACAGATGAGAGAAAGAGAGACAGAGGAGAAGAGAAGGAAGAGGAGAAGAAGAATAAGAGGAGGAAGAGGAAGAAGAGGAGGAAGAAGACAAAAACGACAAATTAATAATATAAAAAATAAAAGAATTATCATTATTAATCCCACAGACATTTAAAGAAATACTATGAATAATTCTATATCCACAAATTTTGTATCTTAGAAAAAATAGATCAATTTTTTGAAAGACATGAACTACCAAAACTCTCACAGGAAAAATAAATCACCTAAGACACCTATATCTATTACAGAAATTAAATCAATAATTAATAACTTTCCAAAAAGAAACCACCAGGCCTAGGTGGTTACTCTATGAATTCTACCAAAACTTTATGAAAGAAATGATGCCAATTCTCTT